AAACCAAAAAACAACTTGGAAGCTTCATCTTCTTTTTCTTCTTGTCCTTATCATTTCCTTGGTCAGATTCTTTGGAATTGGTTGCAATGTTTTTCTTTTCTTCTTTTACCAATTGATCTTTTTTATCAATTTCCTCATTTCCCTTCAAATGAAGAGAAATCCCGAGTTAGATAGTTTTACAAATATGGTGTCGCTTACATTAATTGTATTCAAAGGTTTTCAAACATGTGCCATTCAAATTCAGCGAAACAAATTAATTTGTTCCTCGATCATCCTTCACATGAAAAGAATGAAATCAATCCGAAATATTTAAGTATCAATTATGATTGACAAAAAGCTATTCAGCAGTAATTCAAAAACAAGAACGTTCGTCTGGAACCAATGAGATATACTAAATGTGCTCTCTATTTCAACATACATATTGTTCATATATAATATGTTTACATTAAAAGAAATAGATAAGTCCTCGGGAGAACTATACCAGGATATTGCCGATATAACTTACTAAAACCCCTTTATAGGCCATTGTATTAGGAATGCCAGAATTCTTGAAAAATGTCCGTGATATAATATAATATATATAATATATTATGATATATATCTATATCTTCCGTGAATGTCAAACACCTCGCGGAGACGTTTACATCTAACATAATAAACATTACACATAATAAAAGTGTAAGTCAAGATATTTTCATACAAAATGTTATCCCTGGGATTAAATATATCATCATTTCAAATTTAGTTTGCAGTTAGTACTACAGTATTACGCTGAGAACAAGGAGAATTTTTAAGAAGTGAATGAAACTCGAGGTTTACCTTATTTTCCGCCTCGTTTTTCGTGATCTTGTTTGAACCATCTACTCCATTATTGGTTGATACAGCCATTGCCTGTCGTTGTGTTTCCTCTTTGTCTTCCAATGCTGCCAGTTGTTCTGTTTCCTTCTTTTGTGCATTCGTTAACTTTACTACTTCCTCTTCTAACTCTTCGTCGCTCGAATCCGAAAAATCATCGCGATACTTTGCTTCTGTAATTCTAGGTATACTCTGTTCCCGTGCATATTTAAATTGGACCTCTCTAAATGTTCTGTCGGAAGGTACAGAACGACTTCGGGTCTGTCCTGGTCCCTTGTAAGTAAAAACTTGGCTTCTCTTATTTGCCAGCATAATTTGTTGTTCCATGAGTTTCTTTGTATCTGCCCTTACTGGGGGTAAAGATCCCGTACCATCTGAGGGCTCAATTTTTATGATTCTCACCTTATGTGAGGACATTTCAGCTAATGGCAAATTGCAGCGCTCATCGTAAATATCTTCCAGCCCTCATTCTGGTATTGCTAGGAGACGTTGTCAAATGACGTCGTTAAGTGACGTCATCTTACTGTTGCAAAACATTCGTGACATCTTTGACGTTACGATTAACATATTATAATAAATAGAGGAAATTCAAGTTTTTTCTATAAATACAGGATTTCTTTTTATCGAGTGGTATGAAAATGAATATTTCATGAGTGGTGGTAGCCACATGAAAAATATAATAATTTTCACAGCACGAGATAATAAAATCCTGTATTTATAGAAAAAACTTAAATGTTCTGTTTACTAATACACTTTTCTCTTTTTTGACATCACAGTTTGAAAGACTCTCCCTTTATTTTTTTGTTTTGGCCGAATTTAGCAAAAGTAGTGCGGCAAGACACCAGTAAAAATACGGAAAATATGTTTCGCTGCAGTAAAAATACGGAAATTCATTACATGCTTTTCGGTGGTTTATAGAAATATATCAGTGATATAAAACTGGTTATTTCACTGTTTTGAATTTAAGCCCCTTACGTTGTTTCATTAAAATACCAGCGTGCACAGTACTGGGAACCAACTTAATGACGTGACGTCATAAATGACGTCACGTTGTATTATTTTTTGGCGCGCTTTTCATTCAGTATTCGGTTAAATGTCTTTTTAAATCGTTTCTTTGCATATAATAAAAAGAAAATTTGTTTAGTTTAGTGTAAGATCGAAATATATTTCACCTTGTGAACACCAAAAGTTCATATTTCATTCGTGGCTGCGCCACTCGTGAAATATACTTTTTGGTGCTCACTCGGTGAAATATTCCGATCTTACACTGAACTAAACAAATATCCTCTATAATATTATGCTTCACTGCAGTGAAAAAAAACGGAAAATGAAAATACACAAAATTAGTTATTTTATCAATATTTCATTTGTAAGTATATAATCAGTTTTATTTAAACGGCAATTTGACATATCTATAAATGAAAACCGTGTTTTAAAACCACTGAGATAATCATTGTTTGTTGCCGTTTGCAGATTAAAGTTTACTATATTTAAACTCGCATTTCATATGTTGTTCATCCTTTCGTTCGTTTCTTTAACAAATTTATATTATTGCATATAGATCTACAGTAGCCATTACAAAAAATAACAAAAACAAACAAAACAAGTATTAACATGGCAAGCAAAACTTGATGGTGGAGTATGGGTTTGTTTAGCATGCGTTTTAAAAGTTCGATCTTTTTTGCATATTTCTTTGAATGTACTGTAGCATCATGTGTAATACAGAGACCCCCATTATAAACATTTTATAATAATAATAATAATAATAATAATAATAATAATAATAATTATAATTATAAAAATAATAATAAAAATAATAATGATGATAATGATAATGATAATAATAATAATAATTATAATAAAGATAATGATTATGATAATTATAACTTAGAACTTACGTTAGTGTTTGTAATCGGAAGAAATAGTCTGGCAAGTTACCAGCGAAAATACGGAAAATATGTTTCACTGTAGTGAAAAAAAATACAGAAAAAATACGTTAAATGGAAATGCGCATTTTATTTCATTAATTTTTCTCAATAAGTCATGTATAAGTATTATAATAATGACTGTAAAAATGGGAAAATATGGTGGCGGATTTGTGTTCTTCCTGTTTTCGCCCCTCGCGACCCGCCAAGTAAAATTCTAAACTTTTCGCTTGGCGGAGTCGCATGGAGAAAACACGCTAATTAGCGGGGGTAACTTCGCCCCGCACCCCGCTAAAAAGAATGTTTTGGCTCCGCAGCCCCACCATTTAACTTGTTAATTATCGACTTTTCACTTGGCAGTGTCGCCGGGCGAAAACAAGCTAATTAAATATCAAATATAACTTTGCCCCGCACCCCCCCCCCCCCCCTTTATTTCTTAAATTTCTTAAGTTTTAGTTATTAAACTTCGCCCCGCGCCCCCGCTAATAAGAATGTTTTTGCTTCGCGGCCCGCCATTCTAACTTTTAAATTCTCGAATTTTCGCAATGGCGGAGTCGCGATACTTCCTTCATTAATTCACATATGAGCCGCGCCATATTATGTAACAAAACCAACATAATGGGTTTGCGACCAGCATGGATCCAGACCAGCCTGCGCATCCGCAGAGTCTGATCAGGATCCATGCTGTTCGCTTACCAACCCTATTACAAGTAGAGAAACTGATAGCGAATAGCATGGATCCTGATCAGACTGCGCGGATGCGCAGGCTGGTCTGGATCCATGCTGGTCGCAAACCAATTATGTTTGCTTTGTCATGACGCGGCTCATATAACCTTCTATTTGATCTTATGTTTTAAACTATTTTTATATACTGTATTACTCAGAAATGATTTCCCTACATATTATCTCCTTATTCATGACTTCAAATTCTGTAAAACTAGGCTACAAAAAATGTGTAATATTCTTCGGGTCTACATAAAAGAAACTTATTGTCCCTTATTGGTGGCTCCAATTGAAACTTATTCTCAATAATATCAAATCACTGCCGGTATTTCTGAACATTTTGTTAATTAAATTGTGAGACGGAAAATTAAATCTGTATTTACGAGCTTAAAGTGTATAGGCCTTACTACGTTTTGTTGCTCAAACTCTCTATTCTTATAATTTACATTTTTCCTCGCACGCGAGTCTGTGCTCGGGAGCTAGTTAATTTAAGTAAACACTGCGATTACAAGCAAAGCAATGCTGAACTGATTCACTATCTGTTCAGCATTGCTTTGCTTGTAATCGCACTGTTTACTTAAATTAACTAGCTCCCGAGCACAGACTCGCGTGCGAGGAAAAATGTAACAGATAGTGAATCAGCTCCCCTTTCTATATATTTCTTGTCAGATTTGCATGATAATGTAGTATTTGTCGACGATTTCTAACGTTTGGTTTCTGTTGTGAAAGTTGAAACTTACGAAAAGTTCTAGAATGGAAACATTATTGTATCCCATCGGACCTGGCCAATTTAATTATTTTGAATAGACTTGATATTATACTAATGGACACAATTCAGACAACTACAAAATATGTAAATTAAACATTAGCGGAGCTCGGACCACAACAGATTTGCGCTTAAACGGAATTATATGCAACTTTTTGTTTACTGCCTAACTTTTGTAATTTTTAAACGTCAGTTTTAAAGGCCCATTAGGCCCCCTATGCCTCAGAATCTTCTTTTCTTATTCCTTAAAAAATTCTTTTTTTTATTTTTGGTATAGAGGTCTACTTTCATTATTTCCAAAAGGTTATTCCTTCCTCAATTATCTGAACCACCTTTTTCATCTGTTGCTTTTTGGCGATGAGTACAGAAATATTTATTTATTATTTTTTTATGGAAGTCAGAATACTAATGAGCCGCGCCAAGCATATAAACAGCCGTTATCGTATAATTAATTATGCTGAGAAATATGACGTCACAGTTGGCGATGACGTAGTTCTAAAGAGGACAGGGCCATATATTTTACACATGACAGTAAACACAACAAATATGGACACTTTCGAGGTAATATTTTAGTTTTATCTTGTTTTTACATGTAGGATACTTTCATAAAGTGTTTAGGAATAAATATCTACATAATACAACTTGTTTTCGTTTGGACAAAGATAGAAAGTAACATTCATTTTTCGGGAATATTCAACATGTGACGTGTCATCAAGCATATGATCGTTAACAGTGGCGCCTTATGTTATTAACATTAACTTTAACTAATTTGGCAACGGCTACAGGCTATAATTCCGTAGGCGTACAAATAATCTGCAATTAATCAAACCGACAAGTATGAGCTATTCTCGTTTTAAAAAAATATTCTTAAAAAGGCCTTAAACTTAATGAAAAAGATAGAATTGTAATGTTTTCATTAGTTTAAAGCTATTATAACTTTTTCTTTCCCGTCACCTCGCACCCCGTCCCTTAAAAGAAGAAAAGTTGCAGAACAGAAACTGTATTGATAAACTTTTGCCATATCAAAATATTGGTAATTTATTTTACACTCTAAATGTATATAAATGCGTAGCCGAGTGGTTAGAGTCGCGGACTGTTAACCCGTTAGTCATGGGTTCGATTCTCGCGACTCTCATGTTTTTTTCTTCTTACATTTTTTTCTAAAGATAACTTCTTATTAATATTACTTAATGAGATTTAATAGCTATTTCTATATCTTTTTTACAGGAGCTGGATGATCTTCTGTCAAGTTTCGGTTTATCACATCAGGCAGACACGTGTTATTCAGTAGCCATTCGAAATGAAAGTGAAAATGAAGTTATAGAGACACCAGATATATCCATTGAGTCTCAAAAGATATTTTACAGCTAGTCTTGTTTTCGATCCTGTTAATGTAATGCTGACATTAACCAAAATAGTTATGATCCGCAGAGCAACATTGATAATTTGAAACTTATTTATGACAGTGGCTGAAAATGTTCAAAAAACTGCTTCAGTTACTTATCCTTTCCTCAGATCGAAGCAAATATTCTTAATCTAAGGGAAATGACAAAAAAAGAGAAGGAAATGCTTATAATGGACACTCTTAAAAAGATAAGCTCTGACATTTATAAGATGTAAAGAAGATCGCAAACGCTCCCGTTATGAATATTTTTTGATGGAGAAAAAGTGTGCCTTGAAACCTTTTTGGTGGTCTTTGATATAAAAGACAGGCAAAACAACGGTGCTCAACCACGTGTTCACTGTCATACAGGAAGACGTGCTCCAAATGCAATTCTTCTTTGTTTACAATCCGCTAGGTTTATGACAAATTATTTCACATTCATCTCTATTTCATGTTACAAGCATCTTACATGCTCTAAAACTAATATTTAAATGTTATAAAATTCATATTTCTAAAGAAGTAAATAACTTTTTGTTTCTAAGGCATAATATGTCTTTAGAACTACTAAATTGGTAAATGTTTAAATCCAATAATATCAACTCACTAAGAATTGTATCCTGATATACAGTGTACGTCTACAATATTGACAAAAGCCTCTTTGATCAAGATATATCGTTTACTTGTTGCGATGATTTGTACCCCCGAGAAAAATGGTAGTTAAACAACAACAACAAGTTCAGTATGCTT